TTGGATTTGCCTGGAGGAAGACATGTTGCCTCATACATTCCAAAACCCTAGGCCATGCTTTTCTTTGCCATGACAGGAGCCGCTAAAAGTCATCTTTTAAGTTAAGTTTGAAATCAGTAGAAATACTAAAGATTTGAGGATGAGCAACCGGCAGGACTCACCTGTTTCTCCAGTTTTTGGTGAGCAGAAAAAGCTGTTTGCGTCGTTATGTCGTCTCAGTTAACAAGTATCACCGTAGATCAGGAAACACACAGTAACCAAACTGATAACCGGCACTCTGACTTATTTCCTGTTTTTCGTCACTGCTATAAGTAAAGACAGTGATGTTATGATATAAAGTGTGTGAGTTTATTACATACTTAATGTGTCTGCCTTTTTTTATTGTAGATTATCTCATATTAAGTCACACCATAGCTCTTTGACAAGATGCACAATTAACAGGCTGAAATCAAAAGCGCAAACAAAACAGAAGATTTTTGATCTATCTGTGACTTCACTCCTATTGGTTTCTTTTGTTTTAAGATATTCCTTTTTTTTTTTATTGCACTTTTATGTTATGTTGAATTTAAAGTGCATTTGTCACTCTGTTTATCAAACCATCCACACAAGTGGCATCACCATCTTCTTCGTGGTCTTCATATCCCTGGTTTTCTTCTACTACAGCACCTCCTACAGGGTGTTGCTGGGACAGCAGAGGCATCTGGCCTCCTTTGGTGTTTCATTCCAGTGAGACCAGTCACCTAAATCCCAAGGATTCATAAACAACACAAGTTTTTACTGAGATCAGAGATCAATATGAGGCTGAACTCAACATGACCACACTCCCAAAAAGACAGCATCAGTGTAAATGTTGTTACTGTGGCCAATCTGGTCCAACACACAGGCATGTACGATGGCTACCTTTCCCTTAGCCTGGCTCTGCCAGAGGTTTCTTCCTGTTAAGATTGAGATTTTCCTTCTGACTGTCACCAAGCTCTTGCTCATAGGGGGATCGTGTGATTCTTGGGTCTGTCTGTATTTTTGTAGGGCCTCTGCCTTACAATAATAAGACAACTTATTAATAACCCCCCTTCATTTTTTTAAAGTCTATTCTCACTATAAATATATTGTTTAGTGTTGAAGGTGCTATGTTGGGTCGGTGTGTTGTGGAATGGGGGGGTGACATAAGCACCCCACCCATAACCCCCCAAGACCCTCAAAGTCTAAGTTGCAGAAAAATTGAATTGTGAAGGAGTTAATGGGGTCATTGCTGCAGCCCAACCCTCCAGCCTCCCAATACACCTGCCCACCAAGGCCCTGTGTGTGTGTGGTGATACGTTGTGAACTGTAGTGACTATAGTGTCATTAAAAATTCAAAAGGAGGGCAGGTTACTGTAAGTAACTACAGTACAGTAATTTTAAGCAAAGTGTGGCTGATTTAAAGTAGAGCGTTAGTACCGGGTAATTCTGTTTAAAAAAAGTTTGTTTCTTGTGCACTTTCAGGGTACAGGTCGTATTATGAAGTGACATCATTTTTGATTAATTCATTAATTAATTATTAATTAATTTTTGATTAACCAAAGCAGGGCTTTGGCCTCCTCCAGCTCACATTGTCTACGTCCCCAGACCGTTAGAGTTAAGGGGACAAAGGGGGGCCGACAAATGAAGGCCTCCCTTTAACCCTGATCATTTCTGCTTCTTGGGATGATACAGCTTCATTTTTAATAAGACATGGTATATCATGAGGTCAGAGACTTCAATTTTAAATATAATAAACAAAGGAAAACACGTGGCAGCTTTTAAACTTTATTGACAGCAAAGAAGAAAAAGAAAGGAAAGCATTAAACAAAACCAGAGGTTTCATGAGAAGGCTGTGTGCAGGCAGGAGTGGTGGTACAGAGAACCCAAATTGCAGACTCACACAGGCAAAATAATGCAGTCGAAACAGCTTTACTGATGAAACATAAAATAACTAAACTGAAAATACCAAAAAACTGAACGGGCACACATGAAGACAGAACACACAGCATGTGTCTGGAAGCAGAACCAGACACATTAACATGAGACACAGATTTTCAGGAAACATAACACAGAGATGTGGACTTGACAAGAGGGGATACAGCAGACGGGGGAGACAGAGCAACTAAGCAACACAGACAGAAAGCAGAACATTAAGAAAGAAACCAAAAGACTAGAAACAAGACATAATGGCAAAATCAAAGTACAATAGTAAAGAAAAATCAAAACTCTGGGTCAACAGGTCTCCTAACAAGAAGCGGCCATTGAAGAGAGCAAATAGATCAGCAAACAATATCTGACAGAACGTTTGTATTTGTGCTCAGTGGTGATTTTTTTTTCCTTTTTATGTAGTTTTGAAAATAATATATTGCACCTGGCCTCTGTGGCGCCTCCTGTGGGTGGAGGTCTTACAGGACACGTGTCGAACTCCTGCTTGTTTTCCAATTAACCTGCCCTTGTAGCTTCTTATTGGCAGAGCACACCTGATCCAGGTAACCAGCAGCAGGTAGGACAGGGATAACTCAAAAACAAGCAGGAGGCTCACACTCGAGGACTGGAGTTTGGCAGGCCTGTCTTACAGTAAGGTTAGCACACGTCTTCTCTTCGGGCTCTGCCTGCCAAAGTCAGTGTGCGAGAATGTTAGATGAGGTGCTTGGGTTTATAAAAACAGCAGTTGTATGAATGTGTGATTGGCCGAATGAAGCTTGTAATAAAAAGTGATTTGAGTGTTTGCTTAGAAAAGAAAAAAAATCCAGAAGAACCAGTTTATTTAATCATAAGCACAAATTAAGCTTTTAATGTGAAAGAGACCACCCAGGAAGCGATTGGTGTGGTGACTTATGTCAAAGACGAGCGCCTCAGCAGAGCTCGGAGTCTGTGACACATAGGCAGAGTGTTGTTAACAGCGCATCACTGAGTACAGTGCAAACCCAAAGATAGAGCGCAGTTGTTCTTCCAAGTGTTACAATAAAGTTTATTGTGAGGATATACTGATGCATGCACACATAAAGACATTTTCAGAGAGAACATGAATGATAATTGGCCATTTACAGCTGCAAGCGTGGCAATATTTCACAGTTAGCTACAGTAACTACTGCTACCCCTGATATACGGTTCATATTTTGACTGTTTTTCTTCTCTTTAAGGGAAAGACAAAAACACTCACAGTAGTGATAGAGGATATTTGTGTGAACCAGAGAGGTGACAGATAGCTGAGCTGATTCAAATCACGCTGAAACCACAAGATGGTACAAATTAGCTGGACACCTGGACACCCACAAAGCTGTTAGTTCCTGTTACACAACTGCAGGATAAAAACGAAAATGTTACAACTACAGGGGGACCATTTATCGACTTTTACTGTGAAACTGTGTCACAGGACTTTATTACAACTGAAATAAAGATTAGAGAATATAGAGTGTTCCTTCAGTGTCTGACACATGTTTGACTACTTCCGCTAAGCTTTTTAAACAAATTAA